CACAAATGCGACAACAGTAGCGACTACAGCTGCAACCACAAATGCGACAACAGCACCGACTACAGTTGCAGTCACAAATGCGACAACAGTAGCGACTACAGTTGGAATCACAAATGCGACAACAGCAGCGACTACAGTTGCAATCACAAATGCGACAACAGTAGCGACTACAGCTGCAACCACAAATGCGACAACAGCACCGACTACAGTTGCAGTCACAAATGCGACAACAGTAGCGACTACAGTTGGAATCACAAATGCGACAACAGCAGCGACTACAGTTGCAATCACAAATGCGACAACAGTAGCGACTACAGCTGCGACCACAAACGTGACTACTGCAGGGACTACAGCTTCGACCACAAATGTGACTGCACCAGACGCTACACATTCAACCACAGACACGACTACTGCAGGGACTACATCTGCAACCGCAAATGTGACTACACCAGGGATCACAGCTGCAATCACAGCAACCACTGTGGGAACTAGTGCAGGGACATCATCAGCCACAACTCAGGCAACAATTCCGAGTGAAGGGGCAGCTAAACTAGTTATGACAATTGACGAACCATTCACCACCGACCTACAAAATCCTCAATCCGAGGAATTTATTAATATGACAAGTAGATTTCGTTTATTCTTGATTCCACTCTATCAAAATGAAACTTGGTTTATTGACATTATGGTTAACTCTTTTTCTAATGGAAGTATTATCGCAGACATTGATGTGTTATACAACACAACCGAAGCCACTCCGACAGTTGAAGATATTCAAGCGCCGATCATCGCAGCAATAAATAATGGATCGGCGCCGTTCGCTATCCAAAATCTGACAGTAACTTTCTCTGCAAACACAACTGCGACTACACCAGGAACTACAGGTGCAACAACATCAGTTACGAAAAAGAGCAATAAAGGCGATGATGGATTTGAAACCTGGGAGATTGCTTTGGTTGTTTCCCTTGCTGTCGTGCTTCTTGTTTTAGTATTGGTTTCGATTTTGGTGAGTATACTTGTAATTTACTTGTAATTTACTCTGCGCTGAGGATACTAATTCCGAGCACTCTTTTGAATTTCATCAACATCCTTTTGAATTCCATGAGCCGGTATCTATAGTTAGAAGAGACTTTACAGTATGGAAATGTCGTTTTTACTCGTTCTTTGACTTTGTGATTACTTGAGTGTGGGGCAGTTTTAAACAATGGCAAATGACCAGCCGGCTTTGCGAGCACTGTTTGCCTGCGAATCGGGCTTTTCAGAACCAGAAATTAGGCTGGAGCACGCATTCGTTTCAATTCGGCAAACGAAGCAAGACAAATGGGTGAAATGGCAAAGTTCGCACGGTGCCCGGTTTGCAAAAAACAACTGCAAACTGCTCTTATTCTTTCTGTCACTTTCATTTGATCTTATCCGCGAGTCGGCCTCAACGGCCTTCGATTTATATTGCTTGCCACACTTCATTTAATGAGTTTTTTCACGAAAGATTCAAGCATTAGATCATGAGATTTGGAACTGCATCATAACTGTGACAACTTTACTCATTCACTAGCGTTAAAGATAATGGAAGGCCGATGTTGTCTAAGTTCTATCTTAATATTCCGTTTCTTTTGCAGCCAATGCAAATGTTTCGTAAACATCTCATACGTCGTATTTTTTTAAAGATTTGACAATAAAACAGCAGTCACCTTTTGGTGCCAAATTCAATGAAAGATAATGAGATTCATTTGTTGAAATACCATGACAAACATAGCGCGTCGTGTAATCGACCTTTTGACTGTTAACGTCTAACATTTAATTACTTATCTTGTTGCAGATTATTTTTCTTAAACGCACAAGAAAATGGCCCGGTTATGCAAGGTATAATTTGGAAAATCGCAGAAACAGCTTTGACTTGGATTACAATCTCTACTCTCATGATGCTGACAAACCATATTCAAACCCCACTAATGGCATTGCGGTACGAATTACATGACAGTTGTCGTATACTTAATAATGGGCCAGTAAATATGAGCACCGTATAAGCTTTTCCACCGGATAGTGGTTTCTTTAATTTTCGATATAATCCAGAAAAACTGACAAAGACGTATAATAATGTAGAATGGAACAGAGATTTGATTTTTATCCGATTATACGAATCTATGCATAGAAAAACAGCATTATGCAATATATTTTAGGTATGTTTGACATTAACTTTGACAATCGATAGTATTCTACAAATGAGGCTATGTACTTGGCAATGTCAATACACCTCCAATTTGGTTTACCAGTATTGGATGCACCAACATGCGATATGCCATTGTGATTATTTAACGCAGTCACCCAAACAATGTATATCTACTTGCCCTCGGCCAAACACTGGAGGTTCTCTTCGAGTACACTGTACGAATGCGAAAATTGAGTCAATAATCTATAACTGACCTTAACTGAAATTAGAATCAAGACAACAACAATACGGTGCTAGTTAATTTTCTTTGTTGCTCATGAATCAGTTAATTGGTTAATTATTTGTGAGACGATTATACTTGACCAACTTAATTTGTTATAGCTCCAATCGTACCTCCATTTAGAATACCTGATTCTTCTTTGTAGAACTATGCCCAGTCAATGGAAATAAATGAGAAAGGCGAAAGTTTTCTATGATCCAAAAAGTCAAGGAGTCCACTCCAGTTCGTCAAATAAAAGAAGAAAATGCAAAAAATATTAATGAACAGTTGTGTAATTATATCAGTTGAAAGCAAAAACGAGTTCTTATATACGAGTCTTCGATACCACCATTAAGGCACAGAAAGCATATAACCTCACGTAACGAGCGAAACATGATTGATATACCTGGTTGCAGTGAACGAACAAACTTTAAAAGTATGTAACAGTTCGTACCTAAATGTATTATTTAATGTGTATACTATTTAACTTCTTATTTTTATATTTTGAATGTTAGGAGACTTGTCTATTAATGACGCGATTAAATAATCAACTCGCCTTCTATATTTTCCTGTTTGTTTTACTGATCTTGAATTATAATTGTCATGTTTTTTGTTGTTTTGAATGTATAAATTTATATTCGCTGCTATTCTTAGTCCGTACGCATGCGCAGAAATTTCTCCACGGCTTTTTCCATCACCGAATCCCAATGCATAAACACTATTGTTCTGACACAACCTGAAGTACGGCTACATGCCAACTTACGTTAATTTAGAGATAAAAACTAATACAAAAATGTGTTATGCGCGAATCGTATCTACTTCGTATTAAAGAGGCTCCATACAGTTTCTAACATAACTATATCAGTGTTTTCAACTAAAAGCTCTTTAAAAGGTTATAGGCTGATCTAATGAAGGTGATCTAACGAAGTTGTTATAAAGATTCAAAATGCTGCTGAGCATGCAGTTTTATTGTGCAGACTAGTTAGTTACACATGTTATTATATACATGACAAAATTACTGCAATCTGATTGGTTAAGAGGAGTGCAATTATTTCATTAATTGCACTCTCCAGGAGTGCAATTTTAAAGAGGACATTTTTTACAAAATCGCGTATTTTTTGCGCAAAGCGCTCAAAACTTAGCGACCAGGCCTTCCCTAAAATCCTGCCCCGCCATCTTGGTTTTAAAAATTTCCAAAAATTTGCGAAGACAAATAACAGAATTTTACTGGATTTTTGGCTGTGTCACGAGGCAAAACATTGCCAAATATAAAGAAAGATAACATGGTAAGTGTAATATCGTATTTAGTAGCTGTTATTTAAATTATTATTATGTAAATAT